GTTGCTGCCGCCGCCGCCATGTTGTGAAGACGCTGTGTGTTTCGTTGCGAAAGCTAAAATACGTTGTTTGGCCTTCTAAAAGAGGACACAACTAGAAATCAGTGGTATTTACAGTTGTATTTACAACACTGTTCCAGAACAGTTCAACCCAAATATTCATTTTATGGAGGACTGTTTCCTGGGAGAGTAGACTACAATTCCGTTCCCCTGTTTCCCCTTCGGCACATGCTGACCACAGTCCCTCTATCTGCCAGGTTTTATATCTTGAAGTGTCTATTAGGGTTTTACATAAAATCAACAACAATAACAACAACGTGTTAATTGGGTACTTTTTTTAATGACGTGAAATTGTAGCAAAAATGACAGCGTTCTAACAACAGTTAATAGCAGAATACATTAATGAATGGCAATGGACATTGGAGTTTAGATACTGTATACAATGTGTCATCTTTCATTTGGTTATGTGAAAACAATTGCTTATGAAGGCCAAAAGTTGTATGTGAGCACTTCACAATGCTATCTTTGTTACTTACTTAGTGAAGAAGAGGAGAGTATCCTTACCTGAATAGAGCTGGTCACAATGTTCTCTTAAACTAAAAAGAGAAAAGACACAGGAAACCAATTAGCATTTGAAAGTGATCATTTATAGACATTTTAAGAAAGAAATTATTTACCTGTTGAGATAAATTTAAGAATTAAATCAATTTACCTGTTGAGAGTGTGTTGACAGTCTGTGTAGTTGGATCACTGAACTCCAGAAAATCAGTAATGAGGCATCTTAGAGTGTAGCCTCAGTTAGGGTTTTACATTAAAACTACAACAATAACAACAACAACAGCATGTTGTGTGAATTATGTTTTTATTGACATGCAAAATTATCAGTGCTCTTAAGTTATTAGCTGAATACATTAATGAATGGCAATTGACATTGAACATGAATAAATACATAAAGAAGTAAAACACAAAATAAGAACAAAAAATAGATGTGATGAAGACCAAGTTTCAGTGAAACAATCACAGTCCAATCATTTTGGTGGGATTAAGTGGTGATTTTTCTCTGCAGATGATGAGGTTGTGGTATGTGATACATCTGAAATACACAATTGAGTTTAGAGTTAGTGTGTCCATGTGTTTGTGTAAAAACAATTATGTTTATGAAGGCCAAAAGCAAAAATGCACAGTATGTGAGCCCTTCACAATATTAAAAGAAAAAAGTGATATAAAGCCATGGGATAGTTTTAATATTTATTGTGACTGGGTATGTTTATAAATAAACCCAAGTAATAATTAAAAAATATCTTACAATATGAAGCCAGTTACATTTTTAAAGTTAAATTTGTATTTAAATTTTAAGAATGAAATCATTTACCTGTTGAGAGTGTGTTGACGGTCTGTAGTTGGATCACTGAACTCCAGAAAATCAGTAATGAAGTGCTTTGACAGTTACAGATTTGAAAAACAAAAGGGCGGGAATAAAGAACCCTAAACTCTAACACAAAGAACCATTTCAGCATGAAAGGGCTCTTCAGAATGCTATGGTTCTAAATAAAACCATTACTATATGTAAAGAACCGTCTTTTTTTTTTTTTTAGAGTGTATGATGCTGACAAATAATGCTGACTCAGTCTGCAAGTACGTTTTCATATTTAAAGGATTTGCCACTGATGATTCAAACGCGAGTTTTGAGCAGTGTAGAGTAGCGCTTGTTGTTTGTCATTTCTCCGATCACAAATGCAAAGTGCAGACATGGTTTTATGTTAACGCGGCATGATGCAACGCAACGCGTAAAAAGACAGAATACGTCATTATAATCCGTAATTATGTCCCCACTGTATGCAACAAATGCCTCGTTTATAATGGGTTTTAATGTTTTTGTCTCGTCGCTCCGGCCGGACAGGGCATCACAGTATGGTAAGGGGCGTAACATTTCCGTCACACGCTTGAGGTATTCGGCCAATCACAACGCACTGGATAGCTGGCCAATCAGAGCACACCTCACTTTTCAGACCGATGAGCTTTGTAAAAATTGACGCATTTCAGAAAGGCAGGGCATAGAGGAGAAACAATAATGTACAGTATGTGGAAGATAATGTTTTTTGAACCTTAAACGGCATAAACGCATTTCATTACACCAAATACACCAAATAATGTTCTATTTAGCAACAACATATGACCCCTTTAATAAAATTTTAAAAGTCAAGATCAAGTTTGACCAAAAAGACTCTACTGCCTCTGTGTGGTCAAACTGAAAATTACATCTAAAAGTTTCTTTTTTTTTCACCAGGATGAAAACATGATGAGATCCATGCAGCTCTTTGAAAATGTGATGTAGAGAAGCTCCACCAGAAGAAGAAAGGAACAAAACAGAGAGTGGGAAACAGAACGCAAAAGGGATTTTACATTTAAACATATATTTGCTATATTTCAGAGTTCTGGGGGAATATGATGGCATGAGAAGAATGAGCGTCTGTGGGCTTTGTTTTTCTCTCTATTCAAACCTTGTAACATATTCAGTGTTGTTTCTCGCTGGTGTTTTGGGAAATTGCCAGCCCAGAATCCACTTTGATCCAGCCACAGAAGACTACATATGTTTGAAATGCACTGTGCATTTCCTGACTAGCAGGTGGTGATGATCAACATCCTTCTTCCCTACGAAAAAAAGAAAACCACTCTCAAACGTTTTTCATTTGCTTGACCCTAGAGCTCAGGACTCTACATTTGGTGTACTGGAACTGCATCCAGGAGGAACTACAGCCTCCTTTGCTTGCTTTCTTTGCCAGAAGCGCTTGCACGAGAAAAACCAGCAGATGTGTTTCCTATGAGTTGCTTGAAAATAATGCTGGCCTTCAAAATATCTAACTTTATGATTTATTTATCTATGACATGGGGTTTAGAGGATACTTAATTTGATGTTGATTCGGTCTTGTGTTGTCAGCGTTGTTTGTTAGTAATTGCTGTTTCCAGTCTGCCCACTTAATGTATGTCTATCTGTCTCATTCATTACTTACCAAGCCATTTTTGCCCACCAGATCATAGTGAATAAGGTGGGACAGAAGTTAAGTGTGTGTGTCTAAGTATGGAAGTAAGTGAGGAGTATTAAAGAAACTACAAAATCGCAACTGTATTCAAACCCAACAAATGACAATCTAGTCCCTGGATACCCTTCTGTCCCCAGATACCTCTGCATAGTTTCAAGATGGACAAGACAATATTTGTAAGAGGGGAAAAAATCCAGATAAATCACATGAAATAAAGAAAAATTATAATTATGTATGGGTCAGGGTCAGTCGTAGGATATATAAGCTATGTATATACTTGCAAGTATGGTGCCACATGAAGAAATGTCCAATGAGGCAGATACAAACTGTGAAAATTAAGTATTCTGTGCAATTCAAATCTCAGTTAAAACATTAAAAACATTTGTGGAAGAGCATTCAGCTGTGTTTTCTTATTTTACTGTTTATACGCCAAAGACTTAGCGTCATTCTGTTGGGTTATTTCTTATTATTATTATTATTATTATCTAAAAACTGGATAATGACATCTCAAATTCATTATGCTTAATGTTAATTATTTATGTATTAAAGAAACTACAAAATCGCAACTGTATTCAAACCCAACAAATGACAATCTAGTCCCTGGATACCCTTCTGTCCCCAGATACCTCTGCATAGTTTCAAGATGGACAAGACAATATTTGTAAGAGGGGAAAAAATCCAGATAAATCACATGAAATAAAGAAAAATTATAATTATGTATGGGTCAGGGTCAGTCGTAGGATATATAAGCTATGTATATACTTGCAAGTATGGTGCCACATGAAGAAATGTCCAATGAGGCAGATACAAACTGTGAAAATTAAGTATTCTGTGCAATTCAAATCTCAGTTAAAACATATTAAAAACATTTGTGGAAGAGCATTCAGCTGTGTTTTCTTATTTTACTGTTTATACGCCAAAGACTTAGCTTCATTCTGTTGGGTTATTTCTTCTTATTATTATTATTATTATCTAAAAACTGGATAATGACATCTCATATTCATTATGCTTAATGTTAATTATTTATGTAACCGTTTTATTAAAATATTTCACTGCTTGCTTTGCTATATAAACAACAGAATAGATCAGTGGTTCTCAACTAGTGGATTATGGAAAAAAAAAAACAGCAAAGAATAACCTGACTCACTAGTAATAATGTATAGTAAGTGAAGCAACATAAATCAGCTCTTTATTTATTTATTTTAAAATGCTTCCTAATTAAACTACAGTATTTTGTATTCACCTGTTACTTGGTAATACACACATCAAATTATCACATCATAATAAATACATGTATATTGTATATGTATTATTTACATTATAATATTGCATATATTATATGTATGTCATTATACATACATATACACACAATGGTGGCCAAAATTATTAGAAAACTAGTATTTTCACCAGCTAAAAAAATGGTTTTAAGTTAGTTATTTCCATCTTTTGCTGTAGTTTGTCAGTAGAAAATATCAGTTTACATTTCCAAACATTACTTTTGCCATTAATTGTAATAATCCAGTGAGATTTTTGTCTGACAACAGCCAGTGCTCCACACAGAGATCTGATCTGATCATCATCCAGTCTGTCTGGAATGACATGCAGAAACAGAAGAAACTGAGACAGACTAAATCCAGAAGAACTGTGGCAACGTCTCCGACAAAGCTACAGTACTGTTAAAAGTTTTATGGACTTGTGTAATAATGCTGTACAATGAGGATGCTGTCAAATATAATGTCATAAATAGATTTTATTTATCAATACATTTCTATTAACTAAATTAAATCAACATTTGGAGTGACAATCCTTTGCATTTAATGCAGCTTTTGCCCTCGGTGCACTTGTGCATGGTTTTTCAGGTAGCTTTGCATGTATGTCTCTTGAAGCATCTCGGAGACGTTGGCACAGTTCTTCTGGATTTAGTCTGTCTCAGTTTGTTCTGTTTCTTCATGTCATTCCAGACAGACTGGATGATGAGGAGATCAGATCTCTGTGTGGAGCACTGGCTGTTGTCAGACTCCTTGTGCAAACAAAAATCTCACTGATTATAATTAATAGCAAAATGAATGTTTGGAAATGTAAACTGATATTTCCTACTGGCACATTACAACAAAAGATATAAATAACTGACTTTAAACCATTTTTTTTAGCTGGTGAAAATAGTGTTCTAATAATTTTGACCACCACTGTGTAAAAAAATGTAGAATTTACTTTCACTCAGGAATTGCCAGTAAATTTCACAACTAACTACAAGGAAACTGAAATTAGCATATTAAATGTAGAAAATAGAATTAGACGTGAAATTTGGAAGAAGAGGCTAAAATATGTTCTTGTAAAATGTACTGCAATAATCTTTTGTTTTACTTTTTAACAGTGCTTTTCTTTTTCCAATGCACACAATTCGCGAGTGTAATACATTTCATTTAAATCTTTCCAAGACACGCTTATCCAGATAAATGTCATGCTCTACAGTAGGCTACATATCAATCAGGTGTCCTGACATTTTATCCTACCCATCAGATTGTCCTACCAGGGTTTACTGCGCATGCGCACATCAATATTCCGTCCTTTTTCTCATGCTGAACAACAATATTTAATGTCTCTGCATTACTGTAAGGGTAGGTTTAGGGTTGGGGTAGGTGTAAACTTTAATAAAACACAATCTAATAGGTATAAAAAAGTATTTATTGTTGGTTTCCTGTAGCTGTATCCCTTCTATCTACAACGCGAATATAACACATAATTACTGTATTTGCATTACTGTAAGGGTAGGTTTAGATTTGTGGTAGGTGTAGACGTTAATAAACCATAATTTTACAGGTAGCATTTTTCGTTGTCGAATTGAGGTAGCAAAATCTGACAGGGTAGCACAAATCGACAGAACCCCGGCCCCAAACTGTCTGTGGAGCGGATTCATTGGCTGAGCAGGAAGACCGTCCCAGTAATGGGCGTGATATACTCAATGTGGGTTAGTGTGTCCATCCTGCACTCGAGCGCACGGCGCAGTTCAGTCTACAGACACACACATAGCCTTCAGAGATGGATCTCGAACAAATGGGTCCCCAAACCTTCCTGTACGGTATGTAATGCGTTAAACACTTATCTTGATCCGTTCTTGTCATATAGTCTATTAGATCACACGTATAGTACGTAAACGTGGCACTAGTAAGTTACGCAAACTGAGCATGGCGTAGTGCAAGTTAGTTGCCAGCCAACTACCCCGTTATATTGTCAGACTTAACTTGCTTAGCAGCACATGTTGATGTGTTAACTGGTATAAATACATTGTAATATCGATGTTACTCGATGTGGAGTGACATTAAACAACACGTGTTGAGCATGAATTCGCACTAGCTACTCGGTTAGCACTACATAGTCAGCAATTAACCTGAGACCCGTTTATGTGTGTTCTGGCCTTTATAGGTAAATTAATAATAAACTTCTAAATTGAATGTATTGAAGCAAAGAAACGAAACCTCCACAGCTCGTGTCTCCCTGCGCGCGCTCTCTAAACACGTGCACTGGTCATGGCGCTCCAAAATGGCGTCACTGTTCTACACGTGTTAGGTGAGACAATAGCATGCAACTTTAAATGTATTTTCTTCGTTATATGTGACAAGTCAAATGGATGCTAATTAAGTACTGTTTTTTTTTTTCTTAGTTTCGTTTTCCTAACAGACACACCCAGGTCTTTTGCTCAAATGATACCTAACGGCGTTTGAAACTGTTATTACAATGGAAACGCAATTCTGGTTTAAACATTTTGTCGGCATTGTCAGGTCTTTAGCAGTAAATTAAAATATCAACATGAATGTAGAGCGTCTCACAAACCTTGCCACGTGTAGTTCCTTGCTTCCACATGAAACCATTGACTGCATTGTTAGTTTTGCTGCAGCAACGCAGTTTTAAATATGATTCTCTCGTTCTTTGGAGCCAGATTATTTCAATGGATTGGATCAAGAAACCGGACGGAATGATTCCTTCACGAATCGGATTGGATCAGACCGAGCGGTTCACCGACTCATTTATTAAACCAAGATCTTTAGGGACCACGTGACAAAGTAAATTAATCACTTAATTGGTTTGAAGAGAGAATTGCTCGAGAATACCGGTTTGCAGAATTTAGTTACACTTTCCATCACAGGAGGGACCTTAATGCTTTTTAAAGAACTTTTTTAATAAACTTGTTTTTTGTTTTTATAGGTTGTGAGCTCAAGGCAGGCAAGGAAGTCACTTTTAATCCAGAGGATGATGATGATTATGATCATCAGTTATCAGTCAGAATGGTATGTGGCCTTTTTTAAATGGTCTTCCAATTTTTATTAACATTTAAATTTCATATAGAAGGCATTTGCTTATTTGTTCATTGTTGCAGGCCTGTGTTGATCCCACAACAAAAGACGAACTGAACATTGTGGAGATCGAAGGGCAAGATTCAGAGGGTCAGAAGGTCAAAGCAGTTCTGGCCACACTCAGGCCTTCCACTCTCCCCAGCGTAAGAAGAATGTCCATCCATAGAGCAGTGTCATTTCACACATCTTTTGGGTACACTTGAGTTGCTCTCCTTGAATTGCTCTTGTTAACTAAAGATGTGTTTGTATCGCAGGTGTGTTTGGGTGGGTTTGAGATCACTCCACCTGTTGTGTTCCGCCTACGCTCTGGTTCCGGTCCAGTTCACATTAGTGGACAGCATCTCGTCAGTGAGTACTTCATAATACTTAAGGAAGTGTATGATTATTTGGGATCATCTCAGATAAACGCATGGAAAACTGCTTTGGGAATTTTCAGGACGTTTCTTATTGGTACTTTTCTTTCAGTCATGGGAGGAGACCAGTCCTTTGATGAAGAAGAGGAGGAGGAGGAGGAAGAAGAGGAGACATTGACAACAGCTAAGAAGAGGCCAGCACTGGTGACTCAGAAGCCTTCAGTAAGTTCTGGAATTAATTAGGGTCCTTTCATTGATATGTATGTGTAATTTTGTGGCTCATTTTCTAACCAACGTTCTCTCGTAGAAAAAAATGAAGTTGGATGAAGAGGAGGAGGATGACGATGATGAGGATGAGTATGTGTTGTCTTTGCCATCTATGTAAAGTCATAGGTACTTAGTATTTTAGAAATAGTATTTCAAAAATAAGGAAATGTAATATCATTTTACCTTCCAGAGATGATGAGGAGGAGGATGAAGATGATGAGGAGGAGGAAAGTGAAGAAGAGTCTCCTGTAAAGGTGAAATGAGTTAATCAGGCCCTACATCTTGTAGAATGTTTAAAACTGTGGTCAGAAATGCTTATTTTCCTAATTGTTCTGTCAGGAAAAGAAGGCACCATCCAAACCACAGACCCCTGCACAGAATGGAAAAGGACCCAAGCCCAATACGCCTGCTAAACAACAGAACAAGACTCCTGAAAAGAACAAAAAGGATGACAAGAAAACACAGTCGCCCAAAATGCCACAGACACCACGGGTTTTCACTATCCCAGAGATCAAAGCCAAAATTATGGCGAGTGTAGAAAAGGTATGTTTTCCTTTGCATCCTCTTTGCATATGAAGTCACAAGGAACTATCATCCTTCTATGCTTTGGGATACAATGGGAAAAGTTTGATTTGTGCATGATATTATTGAAAAGAGAAAAAAATCATACTGGAAAATAGCACTTGTTTTTTTTTTTTGTTTTTTTTTTCAGGGTGTAGCATTGCCAAAATTACAGCCAAAGTTTGAGAACTTCGTAAAGCACGGCTTAAAAGTCACAGACGCAAAGGTATATGCATTTTTCTTGTGTCATGTTGTGTTTTGATATTGATATTTGTCAGTGAGAAAAAAAGAACACGGGGATTAAAGTTCCGTCGCTACGACGGATTTCCGTCAGTTCATAAAGACAGTCACTTGCTTCTTTACTGAATGATTCAGCTGTTCGAACGAATCAATTAAATGAATGATTCAATGATAAAATCAGTGACTTGCAGCCACCTTCTGGCGGATTTACTTTCATTTTTAGTGTATAATTTCAGTTATTTAAATATTTCTGTATTCAAAATCTTATATTTAACACATTAATCTCCACATGAATTTATGAATTTAATTGCACTCATGCTACCTCTGAGCCTCATTAAACGTCTGAAAATGTACCCACAAGCCAATTTGTGTTCTTCTGTGCCACCTCTGTAGTACAAATTAATTTATTAATAATAATTTCATATGATTGGTAACTTATTTGTCTTATTCTACTTATTATTATATTGCAGGGGTTAAAGCAAAAAATATATATTTTGACTGAAAATTTTTCTAATAAGACAAATAAGTTACCAATCATATGAAATTAGTATTAATAAATTAATTTGTACTACAGAGGTGGCACAGAAGAACACAAAAGTGGCTTGTGGGTACATTTTCAGACGTTTAATGAGGCTTAGAGGTAGCATGAGTGCAGTTAAATTCATAAATCCATGTGGAGATTAATGTTTTAAATATAAAAATTTGAATACAAAAATATGATTCAAATAACTGAAATTATACGCTAAAAATGAAAGTAAATCCACCAGCAGGTGGCGGCAAGTCACTGATTTTATCACTGAACCATCTTGAATTCATTCAATTGATTCGTTCGAACGGCTGAATCATTCAGGAATGAAGCAAGTGACTGTCTTTATGAACTGACTGAAATCTGTTTTAGCAACAGAACTTTAATCCCTGAGAACATCTAAGACAAGGTTTTTTGTTTGTTTGTTTATCAAACACTGCAAATTTAGATTTGGCATACAGTAGTTTTTCAAATATTGATGAAATTAAGATAACTGCTTCATTGCTTTTTGTCTAAGAAATAATGTTTTAATGATATTCATTATTATATTGGGACACCCAGGTTTTTTGGCTGCCAGAAGTTTAAAATAAATGAAAGTAAAAGCATGTTAATTATCAAAGAGGTGTATTCAAGTCATTGTATGCTTGAATTAATTATAATAAACTAATAGACGCTAGCATAAGGAACATATTAGGAACCGTCATGAATGAAGGTCTTACCTGTACTTCTGTTTTGTTTTTCCCCCAAGGTAATCGAGGAGCTCTGGAAGTGGAGACAGAGTGTAAAATAAGAGCTAAACCATCTTTTGTTTAGCTTAAATTATTAGGCGCTCCCCCTTTTTTTTTTTTGACCATGATTTTACTTTTTTGGTTACCTGCAATTTTAAGTTCATCCCCATACTCTTCAGTTTTTATGTCAAATCCGTGCCATTCCCTGAAAAGACTTCACTCAGAACATGACCTTTTTCATCCTTTGCAATTTGGCCTCTCCTCACCCCTGTGGTGTTGTCATGTCCATGGAGTGTGGCCTTAATTTGGCAGCCTTGTTGCTTAAATGAGAGTCTGAGCAGAAGATTTCAACCCTCGAATTTATATGGAGATTTGTTGACTACCCGTCCATGGTTTCTTTAATATTACATAGAAATGTGTGTATGGCATTCTGATTAGAGATGCACCTGAGAAGTCAATTTACTGAAATCTTGAACAGCTTGACCTGATTTGCAATGCATGATTAATGGGTTTCAGAATGGTATCGGTGATGAATTCCAGTATTTCAGCAGTTCATGTTATTTTTGTAATTGTCAGTGTCCTGTAACCTGCTAGAAGGTGGGATGTACTGTATGTTTGGGATTGATTAGTCAACTGTAACAAATCCAAATGTCAAGAATGTATACTGTTAATGTCACGGTCTGTGCAGCTAAATCTCAGAACTCGTAATCTGTGTACTGCAATTCAGATGTGGCTCACTTTTTTGACTTCGTTGAATCTGTTTAAATGCAAATAAAGTTTATATTTCACAAGTGTTAACCCATTTAATGTGGCTCATAAAATTCCTTTTGGAGAAGTCAGGACTGTTTTGATGGGTCTCCCTAAGTTTTGTTCTGTGCATTACTGTGACATCTCTGTTCTTTAAGAGTGTCTTAACTAGTGGTTGACCGAAATTGGTTTTTTGACAGCCGATGCCGATATCTTGGAAAGCAGGGTGGCTGATATAAAGCCGATATAATTGTATTTATTTTAATGAATATTTAAGAAATTTTAAAATCATTTGAAAATGGATGAATAAATACATTGTAAAATAAACATACTTTAGATGACAAAGTATTTTCCACAAATAAATATTTAATAAAAATATAATTAAAAAGGAAGTAAACTAGTCCGTAACCAACAGAGCACTCAGTATTCTGGGAAGTTTGTGTGCATTTGGAAATCTTTTTTTTTTTTTGTTCAAATAAAGCCAGGAAGTTTGTGTGCATTGGGAATCATATTTTTTCAAATAAAGCCAAGGTATCACTCATTTTACATACAGCACACAGTAAAAACATGAATATGACAGTGGGCAAATGCATAAAGCTCAGCATAATTTGAAATCACGAGTTTAATGTTCAAAGTATTCAATTTGCACGGACCGAAAGTCACGCAGAGAACACGCGATCATGCAGGTCACATGCACACTTCACAAGATCTCACAACTGGATTCGACTAAGTTTGTTAGGTTTGTGAAATTAAATTTTCATTCTAAGCCATTCAAAGATTTGTTTAAATGATGTAAATGCGTATTTGCTGAATGCTGACGGCAAACGAGAAAGTATTATAATGTTTGCCTTTCTATTACTAATAATATAAAAGCAATCGTTATAATACTTTTTGTATACATTTTAATTCCTTTGTTTAACAGTTCTATCGGATTATTTGACAGACTTCTATCCGTATTAGACAGAACTGTTAACAACGACGGCGAAAAAGAGGGAGAATGTTAGCACTGTGTGCTCAGGCGCTGCGGCTCTCAGCGCCGTCAAAATAAAAGTCCACATCGGCCAAACAGAAAAACTTATCGGCCGAAGCCGATATTTGAAAAATGCCAAATATCGTCCGATATATCGGCCTTGACGATATATCGGTCGACCACTAGTCTGAACACCTAGCATTTATTTTTTCCTCCATGAAAATGAATGAAAAGATTTTTTGTATATAAAGTATGAGAGAGAGCGAGAATAATATTAAATATTAGTGTTATGTGATGCGGTGTCTTTGTTTAATTGCACTTAAACAACAATATGCGTCCTTAATGCAGATTTTACGAAGAGGAAAGTTTTCTTTTATCTTGACTGTTAACCCCCACTTAAATGTTATCTTACCCTCGGGTTGTTTGTATAGAGATTTGTGAATTCTAACATTACCTCGGAACCAGTTGAAAAAAACCTGCCTGCGTCGCTTTGCTTGTTTTCGCACAAAAAAAATTTGTAGATTGCCTTGCCTTGTCTTGCATTCAGAAACTTTTGGGCTGATTTCAAGGTTGCTGCTTTCAAAGCTGGGTAGTAACTGATTACATGTAATTTGGATTACGTAATCAGATTCCAAAAATTAATTACTTGTAATTAGGTTATTACATTTTAAAATACTCGTAATCAGACTACAGTTAGTTTTTTATTGACTACTTAATTACATATTATTCACACAATAGCAAAAAAAAAAAATCATTTATTGATTCTTCTTAATTCCTCTTTTTCATCTTGCTACAGTCAGAAAGTCTTCCAGTTTTGTGGACATTCACACAAAGACCAGTCACTAGTCAGGTGTCTGCACAGCATTTGCCACTGGATTTCCGAAAATCATTTCCTGTTTAAGAAGTGTTTCAACATTGCATCAACTTCTGATGAACACGATACTTTTTATTTGAATTATCACTCAGTAGGTTATTTAACCATGTGTTACTATGTTCTTTGGGGGGCTTTTGTCTTTCAAACACATTAAAATGCACAAATTCATGTAATGTAATGCAGGCATTGCCAAATTTTTTGTGATCTGAACTTCTTTCGCCTAATATATTTACTTGACGTACCCCTGAAATTTTAAAATAAATATTTTCATAATTAAGAATCATATTTGCATGTTCACAGATCTGTCATGTTGGTTAATGCGTGACATACAGGTAGGCTACACAAAATAGCCTATTTCAATTTTTTAGTAGGCCTAAGTGTTTTATTTTGTTTGATGTTACAATTTTAAGATCTTCAACAGATCATTGGAGCTGTGTGAAGTTCCCTGCTGCTGTATGTCTGCACTATGTTTGTACTTTCTTCTACACTGGAAGCTCCTGTCGTCAAGTCAAATTCCTTGTGTGTGTAAACATACTTGGTAATAAAGCTCTTCTGATTCTGATTCTGATTAAAATGACTTCTTTTAATTTTACATTATTTATCATTTAATTAGCCTTTTATTAAACTTACAAACCCTCTGCAGCTCCTTACAAAGCCCAGTTTGGGACACCTTGACGTAATGCACTTTATATTGTTAATTACAACGATTGGAATATATTTTCTTAATTTTTTGTTTATATTGATATGGTAGGCTATAATATTATCCAATTTAAATCGATGTGATAAGTTAGATCAAAAATAATCTAAAAGTAATCAAAAAGTAGCTTGATTATATTACCTAAAATGTGTAATGTAACGGATTACGTTATAACTAGGTTAACGTTACAATTTTTGTCATGTAATTTGGAATAAGTAACGGACTACAATTTGTAAGTAATCTACCCAGCTCTGTTTGCTTCTACCAAATAAATAGTTTGTTTGTTGATCACAAAGTACAAAGTAGATGAGGAAAACTAGAATGCCGGGTGTATTCAAAGCGGCGCCATTACTGTCTACAGTGCGTAGAATGGTGCGCTGTGATTGGTTGTTACTGTCTAGAGTGCGTGGA